CTTCATTTCGACAGATCATTAGTATTATATAAGTACTATAACTGATAAAATAATCATACTTTTCTGATATGGTTATAAGCACTACACGAATAAAAAAAACGTGGAATATTCCGCCAGATTGACCATACCCATATACATAATATTTTAAAATCTAGACACAAGCTTGTGAAACATTCAATTTCTTATTATCCGATAATCGTCTTGTTTATGGTGGATTTTTTCCTGAAAAAAATCTTGCTGATCAAAATTATGGTTTAAGAAAAGCTATTGCACATAGTCAATTATATGAAAAAGATGAAGAATATGTTAAAACAGATATGTTAAGAGATACATATGATATAATGCTTAAAGCTCATCGAGAACGAAAATTATTACGTCCATATTCACCACTTGATGTTCGTCAAACCAATCAAGAGCGAGATGATGAATCTAATGTACAATCATTAACTGGTACAAGTAATATGGAAAAAAGACCTCCAGTAAAAAAAGAAAATGACAAACCAATAGATAAACAAAGTTAATGTTTGTTTTTTGTACTAAAGATTTTTAATAAACTAGTAAAAACTATTTTAAAAAATTTAATTAATGGATATTCTTGAAAATTAATAAGTCAAGTATGAATTGATGAAAGATCTAATTCGAATAATCTATAGTATTTTATGATTAATTATTTGAAGACAATGATGACAATTGTAACTTGATTGTATGTCAAACAAATAGAGAGAGAGAGAGATTGTATAGATATCAGATGTTGATAAATATGATATGACATATATCTAATGTTCAGATTATATCTAAATATTTCATGTAGTATGTAATAAGTAATAAAACTATTTAAAGAATTTACAAATTACATTCTATCATGTATATATTTCATACTAATTTTTTTATCGGAACAATAGAAAATCAATTGAGTTTTTATCTCATAAAAATTTTGTAATATAATAATATATGTTTATGAAGATTTTCGAATGTATTTGTCTATTTAATAACAAACATATTCAAGGTAGTTTATAGTGAATATCATGTAAAAATCATTGATCTTGACACGATATAGAAGAACAAATGATGAATATTACGGAACTTTGTATTATTGTCCTTCAGTAGTAATGTGAGAAGGTTAACAGATAAAGATAAATACAATAGTCAATGATTTTATGTCTATTTGTATGAAGGATGTCGACACAGTCTTACAGAATAGTGCTATTGATGAGTTTAATAAATGATATCGTATGTGCAAACGTTTTCTATTTCATATAAACGTTATCGGTTAGTACAGTTACATATTAGAAAATCGACCACTAAATCTACTAAATAATGTTTTCCTATTAATAATATAGTTGAGATACGATCGAATATATATATATTTTTAGCATTTGGAAGTACTCATTAAATAAGAACAGAAGAAATTCCGTTTATCATTTTGTTTCCAATAAAAATCTATAGTTATTTTGTTCTATTTCTATCATGGAGGTTCTTAAGTAGAATAGATTGTTTATATATTGTATGCAACTGGGCAAAATGTTAGGAAACTATTTGGTAAATATTAATTAGTCTTTTCTTTTACATAATGATCTTTATTCATAAGATGAGAGAAATCAATCGTATTAATAAGATCTTTATATTTAGTTAAAAAAAATATTTAATTAGTTTTTATTAGCTTGACTTAATATTACATTCGATACAATAAGTATAAGTCATTTCTATTATCTACGTATAACTAATATCTTTTGTTTCTCTATAAAGAAAATCATTTCTTGTTGACTTGATATTTTCTTTTCATATATTAAAACGAACGCCTCATTGATCTGTTTTTACACATTACTTGGTAACAGTCATAACAAGAGAATAGATAGATTGATCGGCTAAACGGCTATTACAGACATGAATGGATCATTGAAAAGGTGAATGTTGCATGTATATATATATATATGCGATTTGCGTAACCAATAAACAAAACAAAGATCAGACACATACACACATATATATATTTATGTATATATGTACTTTCATCTCTTTCTTGACGAGTTTTTGATAGATCTGAATAGATGAATCGTCATTTTAAGCTTGCATGATATGACATATACAGGATTTACTACAAAATAATCTATCAAATGATTTTTTTTCTTGTATATGCATATATTGGTGTTATTTTATTTACTGTTTTCGACAAATTTCTTTTTTTTAATTAAAGGTAAATATAATGAGTATTTCATTCATCCGAACGGCCTTTCATATTGATCTGTAAAACTATCATATTTAGTCGAAATACAAAACTTTTGCTATTTTTATAAAGTGCAAGTAATTAAAGAATCAAGTATGGTCTTTTCCTATCTGATGCTTTCAAATGAGAGAATAGACTTTGTGAAGTTTAACAAGAGTATGTAGATTTTTAATACTATCATAGGAAATTGGGATAATTGAAGAAAAAATCCAGATATGTCAGATTTTTCTAGTAATATAAAGAAAGAAAACGTTTTATATTTCGATTAAAAGTGACAGTTTTACAGATCATTATGAAAGAACATTTGGATAAATAGAAAAAGACTCGATATATATTCACCTTCAACTGAAAAAAAAAATTGTCGAGTAAGTTAAATAAAATATAAAAGACATACGAAAAAACTTTTGATAGATTCTTTCTGAGACACCCTGTATGCAAGATTACATACGCAACAATTAGCACCTTAATTTGTCATATAAGATTATTGATTCTAAAAGGAAAAATAGGTTAGACCTTCATTTTTATATTATATATTTACAGGCATATGCCTAAATATAGGCAATCATACGCTTATTTGACGAAAATAGACGATTGATCAAGCCTGTTAGATTTATAACAGAATATGAGACCATTGATTATAGACATGTTATAGAATGAGAAAAAAAAACTAAAGAATGATTAACGAAGGAATAGACATAAATACATATACATGTATACATGTATAAAATATATGTCGACTATTAAAGACACTGCAGGGTAGTTGATTATTAAAAAAACGTATAGCGAATTAAGACATGTCAACAACATCTTATGAATAGAAAGTGTCTTTTTAATTTAATCTGTCATTCTATGACTCAATCTATTGATAACAAGTAAGAAGGAAAGCATGATTATAAGAGTAAATAAGACCAACGAACGAGCTCTCATCGAGCGGTAATAAACAGTTATATATTTCTATTGCGACGTCTGCCTTTCTTTCTTATTCTACATTTTGTATATCCATATATTACAGAAGCAAAAAAAAACATTAACTACCATACAAAGAGAAAAGAGAATGATTGTCTTAAATGTCTTTCCTGAACGTAGTATCTTGAAATCTCATCATGACATTCAATTAAAAAATATACATACAGACAGGTCGAGAGAGAAACAAAAAAACTGAAACAATTTATATTTTCTCTTTGTTTCGCTCTTATTCTTCTCTTTTTCTTTTCTTTTCCTTTCATAACTAACATATCGTCACAGAACAGGTAAACGTTATTCATATATCATTGACTCTGTCTTATCATTTTTATTTATTTACATTTATCTATCAAAAAAAACTATAATTCTATTTTGTTTATATTCTAGTGTATAATGCTTTTCATAATGAAATATTAACATGTTTCATATCTTACCTGTAATTAAAATCTATTATTTTTACGAAAAAATCTTTTCAAATGAAATTAATACCAGATGAATTATGAATTATTCAATTATAATTTATGTTCTTGCACTATTGATTCGAATAACAATTACATATGAATACAATGATGATCATGATGATGAAAAACAAGTGGCATCTCAATCGTGTAAGTATTGTGTTATGATTGATTATCAGTCTACTCATTTTTTTTTATTGCTGTTGTTGTCTTATCAACATTAACAAACAAAGTATTTTTTAATGATTAGTAAAGCTTGCAGCACCTCGCAATCAATACTAATAAACATTTCCGATAGCAATACTGTTTATGTATATACATTGCATAATCTTTCACGATATATCCTATTATTATTGTTATTATTCTAAGAAAAGATTATTTAATTCATTGAACAATATTATCTTTGAATAAATTTGAGATGAATATAATAGTTATTTTCTAATTACCTTCGTTTATTCTTTTTCTATTAGTCTTCTATTGTTTACACATACTGATGTGTTGGAATGATTTTTCAAATTTTTCATAATATCAACAATCCCGATTGTAATCATTATCTTTGATTTTCTATGTCAAGGCTATTTACATTCTTCAATCATCCAAGGTTAAAATGATGATTATTTACTTACTTACTTTCTTTCTTCTTATTTTTTTTTTATATATATTAATGGATACTACGTGAAGTACTAGTAATATGTTTTCGATATTAGCATATGTATATACAAAAAAAGAGGGTTTACGATTTGTCAATGTCAGTATGTATGTATATTGAGAGAACAAAAATCACATCTATATGTTAACAGCTATCAGTCAGAGAAGGAAAGTATTGACAGTGATCGATGTACTTATTCCTAAGAAATTAAATCTATGAACTCTACTTTTTAATTTCATTATCTAATTGTTTACTCATTGAATGCTCTCGTCAAGGTTAATAGATATGTTTTGATAAATTATAAACAAACAAAATATGATCGATTTTTTTTTCTCTTGCATAGAAAGATATTTTTATTTATGTAGGGAATTTTTTTTTGAAATAAACTTGTAAGTTTAGATTATGTAATAATGAGTTTCGTAATTTCATAAATATTACTCTGAATTAATTTCAAAAGAGAACAAAAAAAAGGATTGATCAAATTTAAACAGACCTACGCAATTCTTTAAATATTTCTTCATCCATCTTATAGAACTATAATTTTCTACGACATATATTGTACTACAATAAAAACATAATTGCTATGTATTCATATAGGTCTTTATTGTATGAATAATAAAGTATACTGAGCAAATAAATAATAAAATGTTTCTCATATGAATAATATTAAATAAACAGAATTGTAAAATTTTTCTCTCTCTCTTTTTTTTACGAAATAATTACTAGTCTTTAAAAATTTTATTTTAGCTTTACCAATATCTGAACCTATACAACATTTAAGTTCATCAATATTTGATTCATTATCTCAATCGAATTTATCTTTAATATCAATATTATTTACTGATCAAACAATTAATCTCGATAGTCTTGGTATATTTAGTATCGAACCCGACACATTTAATAATTATCATCCATCAGTTACAACAATAATTTTATCATCAAATTATCTTTCGTATCTTCCAAATAATCTTTTTCATTTATTTAGTTCATCATTACTTAATCTTAATCTACAACATAATCAATTTCGTTCACTTCAAAAAAATTATTTTTTACGTCGCCTGGAATATTTACGTACACTTGATTTAAGTAAAAATCAATTATATGAATTATATAAACAAGATTTTACTGGTCTTAAACGTTTAGAAACATTAATATTACGTGAAAATAAAATCACTTATTTATCCTATGCTATATTTAGTCGTTGTCGTACAATAACAACACTTGATCTATCTGATAATGAAATATCTATGATAGATTCAAATGCATTTCGTTCATTATATCGTTTAAAAATTCTTTTATTTAGTAATAATCCATTAGGACAACGTTCATTAACAACTCATTTATTAGAACCATTAAAAAATCTTGAATATTTTGATCTTGAAAATACGGAATTAAATGATCTTCCATCATTTTTATTTATTTCAAATCAACGTCTACAATCAATTAAATTACGACGAAATAATTTTCAAACAACGATCACAAATTCACGTTCTAATTTACAACAAACATTTTGTCATGCACATTCATTAGTTGAAATTGATCTTGTTAGTACAAATTTACGTACACTTGATGTTTGTACATATGATCAACTTCCATCATTACGTCGTCTTTATTTAATGAATAATCCACTTGATTGTACATGTGATTTATTTTATTTAAAATATGGTGATATCTATCGAGTTTTATTAACTGATGAGAATGGACTTGATCGTATACATCCAGATATTGATGTATATCTTGATCGATGGATATCAAGACCTGAACTTCGTCGTCATTTAGAAAAATCACATGCACGTGGTGATTTTCATCGATTACCAATTGAATTATCATTATTTGCACGATGTGCAACACCTGAACAATGGTATGATCGTGAAATAGGAAATATATCAGGTATATTTACACAATGTCAACAACGTTGGTTTACTATTCAAGAAGAATGTCAAAATTATTGTCAATTAGATAATGAAATTCAAACTTCCACAATGATAATTAACAGTATTTCGTCAAGTTTGATGCAATATAAATTGTTTTCTGTTCAATTATGTTTTATTCTATTCGTATTTTTTTCTTTGTATGTCTCTTGTTAATTGACGTCCGGTGATGTTTAATCGATAGTATTTCTTGCTGGTTATTATTTTTATAACTAGTAATTCAATAAATATAGAGCATTGTGCTCAATGAAAATTATGATATCCTTGTTTGATATGTAGTGTAAGACTCAAGAGTATGTAATACCTTTCCAACACTTATTTGTGCTCAAATGAAGATTCATAACTGATATAACCTTCGAAATAAAATATTGAAAACTTTTCAGTTATTAAAAAATCATTAATGTACATTATTTTGAGCTTTCATGGTTGACCTCAATTAATTAATGAAGCGTTTTATGCATTATGATAAAAGACATTCATAATATCCAATGTATATTTTCGCGATTCTATCATCAGATAATAGCAGAAAAAAGTCAAGGTAATGTTTATTTATGAAATCAAACTGGTGTAAACAGATGGTAGTTGAGTAAACGTTCTTACAAAGTTCAGGATAGGTCGCCTAAATTCGAAAGATTTTCAGTGTTACTTTTCTGAAACCTAGTCAACGGGATAAAAACGATTACTTCATATCATCGAAAGTTTTTTCTCAAGTCATTTTAAAATCAGTTAAAGTTATTCTATATCATTGTAAAGTACAGCATTGTATTATTGAAATCAATAAAGTGAGTTTACAACACAGCCCATTCACAGTTTTCTTATGAATAAAAACTTTAAATAATATAGGAAATAAGGACGAAATATTCAAATTTTTTGTCCTACAGATATTTATAGCACATTTTCTGTTTATTTGTGCCCGCGTTGTTATTCTGTTTCTATATAGATGTTTATAAACAAACTGAAAGAAGTTATTCGAGAACATGGCCTACTCTTGTATCATAGTGCAGATTGAAAAACTTAAATGAGTGCATTTGACAGTCGCGTCAAAAGATCTGTCTTTCGATAATATACTAAATATGATCGGTTACTAATGGTACAAATAATCATATTCTGCAGACTATTAAGCTAGGTTCTGCAAACAGGAATGCATCGTCTGTATTTACTTATATGTCTGTTCCTTATTAATACGACTTAAACTATTCGTATTGTAATTTTTACTTAAAATACATCAATCAAATTCTGGAATGCGATTTGCTAGATAAATCAATGTTGTTTATATAAATAATCGTTAAGAGTCAATCATTTACAATTATTTAAAAAATCGAATAATTCAATTTATTACTTGAAGAAATATATATCCACTTTAGTTTTGATAATGATTAGTAATGTCCTTTATATTTCACATCAATATGCAAAAATAAATTTATATCTTAAAAGACACATTTAAGAATCACATGTTTTGATCTAAATTGCAGTCAAAGTTCGCTCGACAGTGGGTAACAGCTGTGGAAAATATACATATCAATTATTTTTCATTACTAATCAATGTTCGATTTTTTAAATCTCTAATAATAAACAAGCTGATGCCGAAGATAATAAAAGCATGAAAGTCATTTCCTAATAATAATCAACAATCCCACTCATTAACAATAAGTGGGTACTTCAAAATTTATTATAGTAAGCGTCGATTTATGATTTTCTATGAGGTCAAATTTATTTTTACTCTTTTTCAAATTGCAACATTTACAAAAAAAGAAAGTATTTGCATAATTCATTTTATTGACTCATGCATCAAAAATTGAATATAATAAATCACATTCATTAACTAACAAATGAAGTATCAAATAATGACATTAATCTTAAAGAAAATTATTCAAAAATTGTTGAAAACTATGCCTGCATTTTCTTATTATAAACAAAACCAATACTAATTCTACATTGACCTGCCTATCCTAATTACTTAGTCATTTATTTCTATAAATTTATAATAGTATCAGTTGTTAAATAACGTTTAGCTTTCATAGCAAATCATAATTTTAAGTTCGATCATATAACAAACTAAACATATACACATTCTATTTGAAAAGAGCGACCTCTAGTCTTTTTGCATGTTAATGGTAAACTATAGTTTAGTCCAATTTCGTTCGTTTCAAGAGAGGAAAATACACCAATGTTGTTGTAACAAATATATGATGATGTGTCTTGATTTATTTTTCTAATCGTTTTTTTCTTCTTCTTATGGCATCTAATCCTAATACAGCATTATATCAAAATTTATCTTTATGTGTTTATATTGGTAATACAACAACAATTGAGAATGATACATTATTGGATTATTGTTCACAATTTGGAACAGTTATTACACATTCATTTAACAAAGAAAAATTCTGTGATTTTCATATTATTGAATTTGCTGATTTGAAATCGTTAGAAAGTTTTCTTAAAACAAATGATCATAAAATAAATGCAATAAAACTTGATATCAAATTTTATAAAAATATATTAACTAATAATGATGCATTAAATATTGAACGTAAATTTTTTATTGGACCAATATTACATAAAAATGATATAACTCAAATTATGGTTTTTTATAAGAAGCAAGATTCAACAGTATATTATCAATTATCGAAACAAAATGAACAAGAATATTTATTACTTCAATTTGCAAATCGACAAACTGTTTCAATGATATTAGAACAACAAAAAATTCCAGTACTCAATGAACATAGGAAATGTCATATTTATAAACCTACACATCCAAAACAATTTGTAAATAAAATAATTTCTATGAAAAATAAACATAATCAAATACATATTCATGGACTAACAAATAATATTACTGATATAATGTTAATGTAAGATTTTCAAAGAATTATTTTCTTTTTTATTATTTTCATTCATGTATTTTAGTGATTATTTTCATAAACGTGTACCAGTTATTGCTTGTCATATTCTTTTAAATAATCCAAAATGTGCTGTTATGGAATTTAATGATGAAAAAACTGTTAGAAAAATTCTTGAAACATCTAATATATATCTACAAGGAACAAATCTTGTCTTAAGTAAAGCATCTCGTAGTCTTGCTTCATTATTATCATCATCTACGGATGATAGTGATGATGAGAATATTAAAACAACAGTTATATCGCAACCTATTCTTAATTCATTACAAACACAAAATCTAACATCTGTACCTACTACACACGTAATGTCTCAAGATATTATTCAACAATTACTTTTGGCAATGTTCAATCCTATACAACCTGTCAATCGTATAGAACCTGAATATATTTCTCCACCAGAGTAAGTTGAACAAGTTATTATTGAGAAATCATAATAATCTTCATTCTTTTTGTTTTATGAAAATAGGACTAATGAATCAGGTTGGATGTCACCACCACGAACTATTGTCAGTGATTATCCTACTATTGAACCAGTACCTGTTCGATTACCATCACATCCTCGTGCTACTACAATGAGTATTAGTATGGATCCAGAATATCGACCAGAAACTAGTGATGTAGATATAAAACCATTTAATAAAGTACCATCGAATAATATTTTACAATTTGTTGAACAATTTGAAAATGAGCTTGATCAGATTAAAAACGAATATCTATCAAAATTTAGTAAAGATCGAACAACTATTGAACGAGAAATTAATCAATTAATAAATGAAGAACGACAAACACTTAACCGTTTAGATCGATATTTAAATGATCGTCGAAAACGTGTAGAAAAACGTCATAATAAAAAACGAAGACATAGTTCACCATCTTCATCTGATTAGTACATTATAATATCACCATTACATAGATCTATTCTGTATCTTCCGTTTTTAAGTTAGCTAATAAAAATCGTGTACACACACATAGAATCTATCCGGCAACGATATATTTCCTTCTCTATAATATAAATATATTTTCAATTCTAATTTTGTGATGTATTATATGCTTTAGTGATTTTTCTGTTATTGTCTGATACTTTTTCGTTCATATATATTATTTGTATATCTTTTCTTTTTGTAATATTGAAAAAGTGTATGGTTGTTTTTCGACGTGACATAAACGTGTATTTAAATTCTTTATGTTAAAAACAATGAATATTGTTTTTTCTGTTTTTAGATATATTTAAAAAAAATGATTTACATACTGATAATTGAAACATTGTCTTTATAGTTTCTATCATATCATTATTCATAATTCTTATTGGATATTTCGATTATTTATACACATGGTCGTCGATAACTCCTTTTTTTTTTATCTTTCCTGCCTTCGTTTTATTGGTAGTAACAATGACATAAGCCATGAGGGGTACATTGCATCATCCATAAAATAGTCATGAGAATACTAAACATCTGAATTATTTAAATGAAAAAAAAATCAATAAATTAACAATTCGACAGAAAAAATTTTTTAATTGTAGATATGACAGCATCAACCGATAACGAAGCACGTATTGCTTTATTTCAATCCATCGGTCTCAATGAGCAAAAAGCTCGTGAAACATTAAAAAATCAAGAAGTTACTCGTTTACTTGAAACAACAATACATGAAGTATAAACATATATTCTGTTTTTTTTATTTTTTATTTATTTTTTCTTAAGGCAAAAAATCTTTTACCAAAAGAAAATCAAATATCAAAATCTATTGGTAATCTTCTTTATGCACTTTCAACAAGAAGTAAACAACAGATACATAGTTTTCATCGATATTTAATTAAATATATTTGTGATGAAAAAATCAAAAATGAACTACAATTATTAGGTAAAAAGCAATTTCAAAAGAAAATTTATTCTAATTCCTATTTGTTTTATTTTATTTAGCGGCTATTGATTATCTTCTAGCACATCCTACTGAACCAGTTGATCAAAAAGCTTTAGAAGAAAGTGCTGGTATAGGAATAAATGTTACGCCAGAAGAAATTGAGCGTATTATCGAAGAAGTTATTGCTCAAAATAAAACAAAATTAATGGAACAACGATATGAATTTCCAACTGGTACTCTATTAGGTGAAGTTCGAAAACGTTTAAAGTGGGCCGATGGTAAAGCAGTTAAAGCTGAAATGGATGTTCAAGTAAGAAAAATTTATTATAAAAAAAAATTAAATAATAATATGCTTTTGTTTTATAATTAGTTATTAGATCTTCTTGGTCCAAATGATCGTTCAGCAAAAAGTACAACAGAAAAAACTAAGGTAAATAAATAATTCTTAATATCATATTGTAATAATTTCTTTTTAATTAGACTACAACATCAACTACTGAAAAAGTTAAACCAACTACAACTGCGAATAATGATGGTAAATTAGAATTGTTTAATAAAAAATTTCTAGTATCGATTGAAATTTTAGTTCAAGATAATGGTAAAATACGTTCATTTGCTGATTTAGCTGGTGAAGCTCTAAATTTTCATAAGCCAGGTTAAATTTAAATTACACAAAAAAAAATATTTCATTAAATGTTTTCTGATATATAGGTGAAAATTATAAAACTGAAGGTTATGTAATGACCCCAAAGACAATGGATCTTATGAAAGAACATTTAAAAACAACTGGTGGACAAGTATAATATAAAATTTCTATTATAATCAGTTTTGTATCTTTATCTTCTAGGTTGTGACACGATTTCCACCAGAACCAAATGGAATTTTACATATTGGTCATGCAAAAGCAATTAATTTTAACTTTGGTTACGCTAAAGTTAGTTTCTAAAGAAATCCATTTTATTTTAAAAGAATTATCTTTCTGTTTTATTTAAGCATAATAATGGTATTTGTTATTTACGATATGATGATACAAATCCTGAAAAGGAAGAAGAAAAATTTTTTACTGGTATTCTTGATATTGTTAAATGGCTTGGTAAATTTATTAGAAAAATAAATCTTTGTTTTTTTGTAATCAAAAGATTTTTTTTTGATACATAGGTTATGAACCATATAAAATTACACATGCATCTGATCAATTTGATCAATTATATGAATGGGCTAAACAATTGATTCGTCGTAATCTTGCGTATATCTGTCATCAAAAAGGTGATGAATTAAAAGGACATAATGTTGCTGAATCACCATGGAGAAATCGACCTATTGAAGAATCTTTACAGTTATTTGAAGTAAAAGAAAACTTTGATTATATAAATAAAAAAATTCTTTGTGTAGGATATGAAAAATGGAAAATTTGCTGAAGGTGAAGCTACATTACGTATGAAATGTGTTATGGAAGATGGTAAACTTGATCCAGTTGCTTATCGAATTAAATATGCTCATCATGCTAAATCAGGCGATAAATGGTAAGAAAAAACTAAGTAAAAAGGACAGAGTATGAACCAGTATAAATCTAGGTTTATTCTATTAATTGTATGTTAACATATCTGACTGAAAATTATACTTTTTACATTGAGACATATTTTAAATAAGTAATAATTATCGAAAAAACACATTACACTGCTTGACACGATGTCATGTAACTGAGTATAACACAGTAGATCAACTATTCATGGAAGTACAATTTATTTAATCTGTTGTTTTATAGGTGTATTTATCCAACATATGATTATACACATTGTTTGAATGATTCTATTGAAAATATTAGTCATTCATTATGTACGAAAGAATTTCAAGCTAGGTTTGTTAAAATAAAATATTTCGTTATTTTAAATAAATTAATTCTCTTTAGACGTTCTTCATACTATTGGTTATGTAATGCTCTTGATGTTTATTGTCCAGTACAATGGGAATATGGTCGTCTTAATCTTCAATATACAGTTACATCAAAAAGAAAAATCCAAAAATTAATTGTAGAAGGAGTTGTTAAGTAAGATAAATAGAAAAACAAAAAATTGTATTGATTATTATTTTTTGAAATCTAGCGATTGGGATGATCCACGTTTATATACATTAACTGCTTTGAGACGAAGAGGTTTCCCACCAGAAGCAATTAATTTATTTTGTGCACGTATTGGTGTAACAATGTCACAAACTGTTCTTCATCCAGATATGCTAGATGCATGTGTACGTGAAGTACTCAATGTTACTGCACCTCGGTAAGATAATTTATTAGAATGAAAATTTTATTTGACATTTTTCTTGTAGAGTCATGGCTGTTATAGAACCATTGAAAGTGACAATTACAAATTTTCCAAATGGAAATGCTATAGAATTAACTGTACCGAATTTTCCAGCTGATGAATCTCGTGGATCACATACAATTAAATTTGATTCAGTAATTTATATTGAAAAATCAGATTTTACTGAGGTAAATAGATTTTAATTGAAAACAAGAAATTGATAGATCTAAATAAAAATATTTTTAGAAACCTGCTAAAGATTATAAACGTTTAGCACCTAATCAACCTTGTGGATTACGTCATGCTGGTTATATCATTACTGTTCAAGAAGTTATCCGAGTAAGTAGTTTTTAAATAAGCATTGGAATTTTTAATGAAAATATTTAGGATTCAAATAATGAACCAGTTGAATTGAAAGTAACATGTCAAAAAGCAACTGATGAAGGTATTTCAAAACCAAAAGGATTTATTCATTGGGTATCACATGCCAATAAATGTGAAATTCGTACCTATGATCGACTGTATGTATTTATTCTATATGTTTATTTTGTTTTTCTACAAAAATTTAATTTTAGTTTCAATCATCCAAATCCCGATGACCCTAAAGAAGTTCCCGGCGGTTTTCTTACGGATATAAATACAGTATGAACAAAAGAAAAAAGATTTGACATCATTTAGTCTTCAATTTACTTTTTTTTAGAATTCTTTAACAATTAATACTAATGCTCTTGTTGATGATGGTGTTAAAAATGCAAAAGCATTTGATAAATTTCAATTTGAACGTGTTGGATTCTTTAGTGTTGATCCAGATTCAACAGATAATCATGTAAGAAAATTTATTTATTCGAAAAAAAAGAATTTATTTTTCTTTTTTAAGTATGTATTCAATCGAACAGTAACATTGAAAGAAGATAAACGATCATCATAAAGGGTTTTTTTCTCTTTTATTTAATAAAAAAGAACATACGTTTTTGCCCTTGTTATTGTTGTTTGTGATTTTATTTTTAAAAATAAAACCATCTATTAAAAACTTTTATCGATAAGTTTTTTTTGTAGCCTTTTATTTTCTTGTTACAGATGACATCAAATAAAGAATCGATGAGTAAGTATGATATTAATAAAAAAAAGAATAAAACAAAGAAAACTTTGTTGTTTATTGAAGAAGAAAATAATAATGAGAATAAATTTAATGATGATGATGTCGAATCAGTTAAAGACGACCAAGTTCGAAGAGATATTAAAATTTTATCATCAAGATTATATGATTTAAAAGAAAGATTTATGAAAGTTGTACAGAAAATTAATAATGATTCAATTGGTTATATCGATCAAATATCCGAAGAAGGCAATAAAAAAAAACACTATCAATTCTATATATAAATTATTCATTTCTTTTTTTTTCTATTAATTAGATGATACTACTGACATCGAATCAAGTGAGAATTTTATATAGATGTTCTATAATATATATTTGATAAATTATTTCAGATAATGGAATGTCGGATGAAGAAGAAGAGAATGGTAAGATTTTATTTATTTTTATACACAGTAGAAATTAAATGAATTTATTCTTCTTCTTTTATAGGCTCAATAGCAACATCTAATGATGATATTAATGATGAGAATGATGATGAAAGTCAAGTACAAAAATCTAGAAAAAGTCTTCGAATATCAAAGTTATTGGTTGAATCCCTTGTTGATAGTAAAGTTCGCCATAATGAATATCTTAAACATATTGTACAATATCCAAAAATAATGAAATATCTTATGAATGATAGTTCAACTTGTGAAAATATTCCTCGTCGTCATCTTGAACCATTTATAAAAGAATATGTAAGTTCAAATACTTCTCATTTAATTATTATTTTTCAATAAATTATTTGTTGTAAAGATAGAGAAACATCCAAATACGAAGATCTACGATAAAATCAATGATGAACTTCAAATTATCCGTCGTAAATATATTAAAACTTGTCAATAATATTCTTTTTTTTTGTACATCGAAATTATTCATCTGTAGTTTGTGTTTTTCTTTTTGTTATGTATTAAACTTACAAAGAATGTATATTTGATATGATAGTCTAAGTACATATTGTTCATCTAGTTAAAACTATAAATAAAAAATATAAGTTTTAAATAAAAATTTCATTTAATTGCAATAACTAATATTTTTATCATATATGCTTAATTCTGTTTTTTGACTACAACTCCTAAATAGCCTTCACCGATTTCTTGTTATTAGTTTACATTGCAAACAACAATATTTACTCTTAACGTTGTTTTTTCAAAAAAAACTTTAACTTGAATTAACTGATTTAAATTCTCTTTTTTTTCCTTCTTCTTATTTTTCAAAGAATAGTAAAACATTTGTAGTTCTTTTTTTACATTTACTTGTCTATTTTAATGTCGTTTACATCGAAAGCAACACATATTGATCGTGATGATTTTGCAGCTGATCATTATGCTGATTTCGTTCGAGATTCTCATCGTACACGTTTAACATTTGATCAACTTGATATGGCAAGACGACAGCTTCGAAAAAAAGAAGAACTTTTATCTCAAGCTCATTCAATAAAAATGAAAGAACATACTCGTATTGAAAATGGTTTCTTACGAAAACTTGAACAAAATCCACGTATTGCAAATTTACCTATGGTTAGAGAAAAATTACGAGCACAACGACGACAAGGTTTAGAATCTCCAAATAAAAACTCATCCGAAACGGATAAATCTATGGGACAAGAAGATAATGTTTATCAAAAAACTAATCAATTTAAACCAATAACAATGCGACCACCATCAGCTAAAACAGAACGATTAAATGCTAATCGTGACAAATTTAATCAAACTAATGTTTTATTATGTTAGATAATACATTGTCCTTTATTTTCGTATTAGATTTGTTGATCAAACAAAATACATTACAATCGTAAGAGAAAAAAAAGTAACTTAAAAAGCAAAAGAGCAATATAGAGATTTCTTATTCTTTCTAATACATCAATTTGAATAGTCCATTAAGTAGATTTTTATGAAAATGAACGTTTGTCAAGTGCCCAACTACATACTTTCCATAAACATTCTAAAATAAAAACAAAAAACAATGAATTGATTATAGAATAGTTTTCATTTTTTCATACGTCGGCCACGTTTTTGTAAACCTTGTGGATGACTATCAAATGATTCAGATGCAAAACTACTATCTTGAAATAAATTGTCTGCATGTAAAAGTTTAGCAAGAAATTCATCTGTTGGTTCAACATCAAAATCAGACCATGGATTTCTCTTTTAAAAATATAGAAAAGAGAAATATATTAAATTTTATATAAAAAAAACTAAATTAATCTTTACCTGCATACGATTAATGCTATAACAATTGATGAAAAAGATTTCGACGCAAATAATTAATAAAATCAAGCTGATTTTCCACATGTTACAGGAATTAGTTGAAATAAAAAATGAGAATGATTAGAAATTATATGCTAAAATATATATGAAGAAATGTAGTCTGATATAATGTTGAACTAATATATTAGAAACAAAAAGCTTCCGGCTTTTATATACAATTAATTCGAGGTCTACGCAACGAATTGTAAATAAAAAATAGCACGAGTGTACTCTTTCATATATATATATATATATCTATATAATGAAGCAAATTAAGCGAACACTTTTTTTTTACGTTAAATTACAGACCAACTAATTTTTATTGAAATCAAAAAAGGTGAAAATCATATATTCTATCGCCTACCTTTCTTACAGCTCACTAATTTATCTTTTAGACTATGACAAAATTACAAATGTGTATATAACGAAAAATAAAGAGTAGGGCAACTTTAAATTATTTTTTAAATAAAGAGAATAGCTAATACACATGAATTAATTAGAGACTTTATCTCATGACAGAAAAAAATCGTACATAAAATATTAAACTGTCTGTAAGTACATTTTTCTCGTTGTTCTATCTTCTATTGATACTCAATGAATTTGAATATATACAATAGTCTCATATCTGCAAAGAGATCATGAATCTAACAAACTAAATATAATAGAAGTAGATAAAAGAGAAACCGTCTATTATGTCAGGGATTCCTGTTTGTCAATTATACGGAGCATCAAAAAAAAGTATGATATTATTTCGAGACAATCAATAATTAACGGGAGTAGACTAAAAGCAAATCTGTTTTTTCTTCCGCTTTGTTCAAAACATTCAATATTGTTGTTGACGCCTTCAAACAAAAATTTAACATATGATTTACTTCTCTGAACTATCATTTCAACAAGGTCGTAAACTATTACAATATACTGAGAATACTTGTGTATATGTTGAGGAAATTTTGATATTTTAAAAATACAAACTGTTCTATAAATTATATTCGAATTATTTATATGATAATTGAAATTGAATTGAAACAGGCTTAAAATACAAATTTTATTTAAAATTCTGTCTGCACAATTAATAATTGTTTCATTCCGTTCATATTCACTTTTTATTGATAAGTCGAGCATAATTATCATGCTATTTAATCGGTGTCTGTCATTTCAACAGAATGCTATATGAGCATGATTTACAAAACTTCAAAGCAATACTATGACCCTTTTGATGAATAACGATGTATAATAATAGCAAATTTTCATAAAGTTAAGATTATGCAAAAATCTTAACATCAACTATATAACATACAAGTTTATATCAAATTGACTTTTTATCTTTTCTAATTCTTTTTCGTGATATACATTAACATGAAAATGACTTGATCAAAAATGTGCCAACACGTTCTCTCTGATTTGATAATATGATTCATACTACTTTTTCATTGGAACTATTAATAAACCATCCACATAATCTTATTGA